TGGCGTGGGCGGATTTGTTTTTGTTCCCAACCCTCCTTGGTTGGGTATTCGTTTTGAATCGAGCACTGTGGTCGCGTCCCTCCTCCTCCTCCTCCTCCTCCTCCTCCTCCTCCTCCTCCTCCTCCTCCTCCTCCTCCTCCTCCCGCCTCCCGCCTCCCGCCTCCTGTCTCCCGCGAGACCTCGCCGTCCCTGGGGGGGGGGCTGCGATCTGCGGAACTGTCGCCACTTTCGAGGGCTGCTGGTGGGTCCTGCGGAGTGAGGCACCGCGGGGATCTGAGGTAGACCTCGCCGTCCCTGGGGGGCTGCGATCTGCGAAACTGTCGCCATCTTCGAGGGCTGCTGGTGGTTCCTGCGGACTGAGGCACCGCGGGGATCTGAGGTAGACCTCGCCGTCCCTGGGGGGCTGCGATCTGCGAAACTGTCGCCACTTTCGAGGGCTGCTGGTGAGTCCTGCAGACAGGCACCGCGGGGATCTGAGGTAGACCTCGCCGTCCCTGGGGGGCTGCGATCTGTGACAGTGTCGCCACTTTCGAGGGCTGCTGGTGGGTCCTGCGGGCTGAGGCACCGCGGGGATCTGAGGTAGACCTCGCCGTCCCTGGGGGGCTGCGATCTGCGACACTGTCGCCAGTTTCGAGGGCTGCTGGTGGGTCCTGCGGACTGGGGCACCGCGGGGATCTGAGCGAGACCTCGCCGTCCCTGGGGGGCTGCGATCTGCGACACTGTCGCCATTTTCGAGGGCTGCTGGGGTCCTGCGGACTGAGGTACCGCGGGGATCTGAGGTAGACCTCGCCGTCCCTGGGGGGGGGGGCTGCGATCTGCGACGCTGTCGCCCCTTTTCGAGGGCTGCTGGTGGGTCCTGCGGACCGGGGCGCCGCGCGGATCTGAGGTAGATCTCTCCGTCCCTGGGGGGCTGCGATCTGCGAAACTGTCGCAACTTTCGAGGGCCGCTGGTGGGCTCGCCACTTTCGAAGGCTGCTGGTGGGTCCAGCGGAGTGAGGCACTGCGCAGACCTGAGCGGTACCTCGTCGTCCTTGGGCGGCCATGCCATGTTGTTGTTGTTGTTGTTGTTGTTGTTGTTGTTGTTGTTGTTGTTGTTGTTGCCCCGCCGACGTTTCAAGCCCCCTGCTCACAGTCTCCTTTTGGTCCTTGCGTCTTCCTTAGTGACTCAGGGGCACACTTAGTTACTCATCGTTTTTCCCTTGATTGGGGGCCTGCGAACCTTCCGAATGCCGCTCGCAGAAGTGTATGCGTCCATGGCACGTTGCCGCCTTCTGGTCAAATCTCCCAAGCTACTCCTGCCCCGCATTGCGCAGGGGTTGGGTACGTCGCCAGGGTAATTTTTCTTTCTACTGTTTGCGCGGTGCTGAAAATAGCATTCCGCTAAAATCACCCACGGGATTTTTTCCGTGGTGCTGAGATGACGTGTGTGGGGGGTTCTTGAGTACTTCTTAGGCTTAGTGGCCCCACAGGGAGCTCCACCGAAGGCCCCAGTGGCACAGTCCACACGCGGTTCCTCACCCAGTTCGGCACACCCCCCACACGTCTCGTGGCCCGCCCGTCGGGGAGATCGACCGACGGCCCCGGCAGCACAGTCCGCACACGTCCCCACGCACATGTAGGCGCACCCTTCACGTGCTTCGCTGTCCCACACGGAGCTCGACCAACGACCCCGGCGGCAAACTCCGCATGCGTCCCCCCGCCCATTTCGGTACGCCCCCTTGGACGCTTCGTGGCCCCAAGCGGCGCTTCACCAGCGCAGCTTTCACAGCTTCCTATGGTCGGGTCCTTCGCCAGGAGAATGAGATGGCCCCTGGGCCTGGTGAGGCCCCCCTGGGGCCGAAAACTGGTCAAAACTGTGTGCGGCGTGAGGAGGTAGAGGGAGGAGGAGGGGGATGAGGGGAAGCAGGAGGGGGAGGAGGGGAAGCAGGAGGAGGAGGAGGAGGAGGAGGAGGAGGAGAGAGGAGGAGGAGGAGGGAGGAGGAGGAGGAGGAGGAGGAGAGGAGGAGGAGGAGGAGGAGGAGGAGGAGGAGGAGGAGGAGGACAGGGAGGAGGTGTCCGAGGATTCGGCCTGGCGGGCTCCAGGCGGCAGCGCGGGCAGCGGTCGTCCTCCCCGCACTCCGCCTGGCGCTGGGCGCTCGCAGCCGGGCGGCCGCCGGGCAGCGTTCGGCACCGGCGGCGGCGGCGGCGGCGACTGCCAACGGTGTGAGCGCTCGAGCCTTGCCCTGGGGTGTGGGGGCGGCGCCTTCGGATCTTCTGTTCCCAATGGGGGGGAATGAGGAGGAGGAGGAGGAGGAGGAGGAGGAGGAGGAGGAGGAGGAGGAGGAGCCTGAGGAGGAGGAGGAGGAGGAGGAGGAGGAGGAGGAGGAGGACCAGTGTAAACCCAATACGAATCCTCAACGATGTTGCAGCACATCCTTCCTGCAAGTTTCCTCATCACAGGCTCCTACAAGGATTTATTTTCACTGCGGGAAATTCCTCGTTGGAAGACGACCGTCTGAAAATCTTCATCGATGCCAAAACACCATTCCTGCGACTTCGACGCCGCGACTCAGCGTTGCTGTTGCGACCTGACGATCCTGAATCGTGCCAGAACACCATTTTTGGAACGTCAGCACCGCGGATCAGTGTGACTGTGGCGCCCTGACAATTCCTATATCGTGCCCAAGCGTTGTTTCTAGGACGTCAACCATCTGTTAGAGTCCTTGCGAAGACGTCAGTTTCACTGTTAAGACGAATGTGCGCGGCGCCAAGGCGAGAGCAATCTTTTGAAAAGGAGCCGCCCTCCATCCGTGAAGCTCTTGCGAACTTTTGAGACGAATGTTCGCGGCGCTAAGGCGGGAGCCACATTTTGAAAACTACCTGCTCTCTATCGGTGAAGCTGCTGCAAATGCTAAGCTTGAGGATCATGGATGGTGAGGAAGTCTCCAGTGAAACGCCCGGCCCGCCTTACCGACCCGTCTCGGGGTGCGACAGGCAGGAGTTAGTTGTAATGAAGAGATGTGGAGGAGGAGGCGGAGGAGGATGAGGAGGAGGAGGACGGGAAGGGGGAGGAAGGGGAGAGGGCTAGGAGATGGGGGGAGGACGGATTCTTGCATATGTAGGTGGGCCGTATTCACAATGTGCTCTCCCAGTATTTCGTTCATGTGGACTTAGCGATTTTGCGAAATGCAGTGGTGGCCAACAGTGGGCCAACAGACGGAGTGATGGGCCCACGACTGACGTCATCCATGGCGGTCGTTTCTCACGGTGCTCGCGATTGCCTCCGAAGCGCGCGCAACATTTTCAGAGCATACTTTAAGGAGGGCTGAGAGCCCCTTATCACTTGGACGTACGCAAACGCACAGCATGAGTTGGTGGGCAGTTCTCATGGTTGCTGTACGCAGCTGTGCCCATTCTGCGCTTCTCTCCCTCGGCGTCTGCCCCCCCTTTCAGGCATACGCCTCATGCCAGGCGAGCACCATTTGCAGCACCCGCTGGTGGTCGACCACGAGGTCGAGATCGTCGGATGTGGCGAGGGCCTCAGCATGGCCGCCCGAGCTCTTGCTCGGTGCCCTCCTAAGTGAGTGCGATCGTTCTTCGAGCAGTGCTTTACGTGGAGTCGATGTTTTGGACTCTCCTGGCCCCCTGGCTACGTTTGCTAAGATGATGCTTACTGCTTCCTCTGCCCTTCACTCCCTTTCTCCTTCGTCTGGTCCGTTTCTCATCCCTCCACCCTTCCCTTTCCTAGCTCTTCGTTCCTCCCTCCTCCCACCCGTCATCACCCGTCTTCTCCCTTATCCTCTTCTTTCACCCAAAGAGAGTCCCAAGCGAACCATCATATGACCCCGAGGGAAGTTCCAAATTGCTGGCGTCTGTCGAAACCCTCCACGGTGAACGTCGAGAGAGGCCCCAAGAGAAATACAATCAGCGTCCAAGATCGCACAAACCGACCTCACGATGGCTACGAGGCTTCCGATATGCCCTGGAAGAGTCGAAGAGGCCCCATGATCCAACAAGGGACCGCAAAATGGCCTACAGGTGGCCCAGCAAAGGTTTTGCCCGCTGAGGGGCGGGAAGCTTCCGAGAAGCTGCCCGGACTCCACGTTGGAGAGCGCGCGACTTCCTCTGATGTCTCTGCGTGTCTCGTGGTCACCTCTCCTCCGGCCGCGGAATTCCGGTTTGTGCTATCACCAGCCTGTTGTATTGTGCCGCTTTCCTTGCCATTTCTCTTCCTCCTCCTTCCTCCTTCCTCGTCTGCGTTTTTGCTCTAACTGGGAAGATGCGCGAGAAAGTTCCTGCGGTAGGATTGCTTACCGACTCCCTTGTTTCGATCTCGCTGGCAGTGCTCTCAGGATTCCTTCACACAGGTGCTGTGTCGTGGTGTTAGCCTCTCCGTCTACTCCCTCCAAAACTGCGCGAAACAGGCAGCATGTGGCCCAGGGGTGATATATTCCGGTTCGTGTGCCTGGGACTTGCTGGGCTGCCAGCCCCGCTGGCCCTCCTGAGCACTCGTCCCAAGCAGGAAGGCGAGGGAAGACATTGAAGAAACCGATGGGGAAATCAAGCACAGCCAGTGCAGGCTGGCGTCAACCCCACGAGGCGTCGTGGCACGAATCCAATGTGTCTTGACCGTGCCTTGGCCTGTGCGTGAACTTATGCGTGCGCGAAGTACGCGCAGCTCCACCGGTGTATTATTGATGACGAGGGGTATGCCTCCAGGGCAATACTGAAGGATGTGGATGGAGGATTGGGGATGGATGAGAATGAGTGGGGCGGATGATGGAGAGGGACGGGTAGAAGGGCCTCGCCCCTGGTGCGGACACAAGCGCCAGCTTGTTGGTACGTATCTAGCGCACATGTTCAGCGCTCGAGTCCAGCCGTGCATGAATCCAGCTGCCTCGTTAGCCCCTTGGCCTCCCGCGCGTGCTGCTCAAGCTCTCGCGGGAGGAGTGCCTCGCCCAGTAGCGTCTCACCTGATTATGCCTGGCGTGCCGGTAGAAGACCTGCGGTTGGGCGGGAAGGCCACGGGCGCCTCGCTGGTTCTGCCCGGCACGCAAGCAGATGGCCTGCAGGTGAGCGGGAAGGCCAGAGGCGTTCAGGACGAGGAAGGCCTGGCCTCCCAGCCAGAGCACCGCTGCCGCCGCAGCCGGCACCCTTTACCATCAGGCCAGAGGAGGTCGCGCTCTGTGCTCCAGCTGGTGGACTTGCCTCGTACGGTGCCGCACAGGGCGGAGGCGGGGGCGCGGGTAACGGAGGAGGCCGCCAGCCTCGCGCGTGTACGCCAGGAGCATCGCCATGCGGTGCCCAGCGCTGGCTCTCGGTCAAGCGGCGCGGTCGAGCCCAGCGAAAACCAGAGGGGCATGAAGCCTGGGCCATTCGCCAAGGACGGCAGCCTCGCGTCGACAATCAACAGCGTGCCGCGCCCGGAGAAGCGCGCAGGTCTGGCGCACCTGGATCGGCGACACGTAGGAGCGGCCCCTCGCCGGAGTGACCTTTCGTGCGCGGCCTTCGAGGGGCGCGGGGGGCCAAGCCCGCGCACGCAGACCGCTGCTGCCGCATCGCACGCCACGATCGACAGGCCGCGCACCACGGGTCGCTCTTGCCTGGGGCCGCCCCTGCGCGAGGGCGCAAAAGCCAGACACCCACGCCGACCCTGGCCAGGCCCACGCTGGGCCCGGCATCGGCGCATGTGCCTTCCTGGCCCGGGCGGGAGGGCGCCTGCACCGATCCTCTGCCCGGGACCGGCCTGGCCTGCTCTGGTGCGGGTGCACCGTTGTCGGGAGACTCTCCATGGGGGGGGATCCCATGGGGGGGGCAGGAGGGGATCCCCCCCCATGGGATCCCCTCCTGCCCCCCATGGGATCCCCAGGGGATCCTATGGGATCCCCCCCCCCTGGGATCCTATCCCCCCATGGCATCCCCCCCCATGAAGAGTCTCCCGACGTTGATGTGCCCTCCCCCGTGGAGGACCCGGCGATGCTCGTCGGCCCCGCGGCGCAGCCCGCACGCGACGGCGGCCCCGCCGCCGGCGGGCAGGCGCTGCTCCGCGAGCCACAGTCGGAGCCCCACGGGGCAGCCGCGGCCGCCCGCGGCGCGCCCGCAGGCGGCTCGCCGCCCACCTCGGAGCGCCGGAGGCCTCCGCCGTGCAGCAAGCGGATCCCGAGCCGACTGCAGGTAAGGTTATGTCGGGCGTGTCCCCCTACAGGGGGAGTTTCGAGGAAAAAAATGCCTTCAAAATGCCCCAAAAGAGTTAAAACATACAAAAATAGTCCCCAGACTATTTTCGGACTATTTCTTGATTATTTTTGGTGTATTTTTCATTTTTCGTCGAAAATCCCCCTGTGTGGGGGACAGGCCCGACGTAAAGGTAAGAGGGACTCCTCGCCAGAGTGACCTTCGGTGCGGGCCCACTGTGGGCGCGGCATGCGACGCGGCAGCATCGGCCTGCGGGCTTGGGCGTGGCCTCCTCGCGCCCCCCGAAAGCAGGGCGCACCAGAGGCCACTCTTGCCTAGGGGCTCGGAGGTTGATACCCTGAATATTTGATTGAACGAATTGATTGCAGCACTGGCCCGAATATTTGATTCCTCGTCTGGGCCGATGGCCTGAGTGTATTGTTTTTGTCGCTGGCCCGCCCAGTTTTCCATTTTACCCAGTCTCCGATCATTGTGTTCATTTTGATTTCAGCCTTCATTGATTTCGGCTTCCTGGTAGAGACCTCCTACCCTGACACCTCGATGGAGGAATTGGCCGCTCTCGGTCCGCGAGGGGGCTTCGCGTGTCCGTCCTTTCTGCGGGTCCAGGTCCGTCGGTGTCGGTCCCGGGCCGTCTTCACGGAGGGGAGGTTTGCAGGTTTGCTAAAATCAGGAGGGGAAAAAACACACAGACACAATGAATCCTCGATTCCCCAGAAAATATGGGAAACTATGGGAAGTGGGGGGGGGAAGACAACAACCCAGAAGATATGGGACAATTTGGGGAATCTTTTTACTTGTGTGTCTTTGTTTCTGTGCCCCAGGGCCCCTTCAGAAAGCGAGGCTTGCCCACCGCCGAAGGGCCCCTCTGGCGCGCAGCCGCCCGAGGGAGGCGGGCCCGGAGGCCCTGCGCCGCTCTCGGAAGGCCCCCCCTCCGGTGTCCTCCGCGCGGGGCCCGGGGCCGCCCCGCAGGACGGCCCAGGGCGGGATCGACTGGACGTAAGAGTGGCCTTTCGCCGGAGTGACCTCTGGTGCGGGCACGGAGGGGTACCCAGAAAATATAGGACAATATGGGGAATATTTTTGTGTGTGTCTATTTCTGTGTCCCAGGGCCCCTTCAGAAAGCGAGGCTTGCCCACCGCCGAAGGGCCCCTCTGGCGCGAAAACCGCCCGAGGGAGGCGGGCCCAGAGGCCCTGGGTCGCTCTCGGAAGGCCCCCCCTCCGGTGTCCCTCGCGCGGGGCCCGGGACCGCCTGGCAGGACGCCCCAGGGCGGGATCGACTGGACGCAAGAGTGGCCCTTCGCCGGAGTGACCTTCCCAGACCTCCGACGTCGCGAGAAACTCACGACGAGGGTTTTTGATGATTTTCGGCCTCGGGAGGCCCCCGCCGGGCCTCGGGAGCGTCAAAAAACGACTCGGGATGAAAAACCGGTCCCAGGGAAGGTCTCCAGACTTCGGGGGGCCGACGTCGTGAGCTTCTCACGACGTCGGGGGTCTGGGTTTGGTGCGGGCGCGGAGGGGTGCCCAGAGGGCTGAAAACGAAGCAGCACCGCGGTTTTCGAACAAAAGCGCCCATCCGCATTTCTCGTGGAAGCGCGTCCAACCCCGGGCCCCAGTTTCAAAGTTGGGGGCGTTCGACGCGGGGGAGTGCGAATCGTGTCGAAATAAACGCCCACTTTTGCAAAACGCTTCCTGCGCGACAGGATGAACATTGAAATTGGGGGCGTGGGGTGCGAGCTTGCGCCATCCCTTGAACGTTGCCGATGGGCGTTCTTTTCGAAAACACCGGTAGCAGCTGCTTGCGCACCCAGGTTCGGTCCCCCCGCGGCCCCCCAAGAAGTCGCGCACCAGAAGTCACCCTTACCCAGGGTCACTCCTGCGCACAGCCGATGGAGGGCGTGTCCGCCGGGGAGGCCCCTGCGGGGCCCATCGGGGAACACACAATGACACAAGCGTAAGCTCGGCGTCACCCCAACATGCTTATACTGTATGCGTGTCGCCCCCCCCCCCCCAGGGGCGGCGCGTGCACCGAGAAATCTCATATTACATGCGTCTTGGCGGGCGCTTTCTGGCCACACCGCTCGGGAAACGATGTACTACAAGATTGGGTATACTACATGTTGAGGTCGGACGCGCGCCTCCAAGTATAACATTTACTACTGGTATGTCTTTGTGCGTCCCATATAAGCATGCAAGCTCGGAGGTCCTTCTTCGTTCCCCTCGCCCAGGGCCCGCTGCCCTCGGGACCCGCTCGCTCCCTGCCGAGGCCTGCGGACCTGCCCCGGGAGCCCCTCACGACGCTGCAGCGCTTCCGCCTGCTCTGCGCGGGCGAGGCGGAGCCCGGCAGCGGCAGCCGCGGCAGCGGCAGCTGCAGGGAGCCCCGCCCTGCTGCTCGCGCGCCTGCCGGCGAGCGGGCCGCCCTGGCCGGCGCGGGCGGCGCGGTCGCGGGCCGCCGCATACGGGAGGCGCTGCGCAGGCGCAGGCGCAGGCGCAGGCTCGAGCTCCGAAGAACACGAAGCGGCATCGGCACAACCCTTCGGAGCTCCGCGCGGACTCCTCGGCTCGGCGCTGGGCCCCCCCAGGGGCGGCGCCTTCTGGCGCCACCCCTGGCGGGCTCCGCGCGCGAGGGAGGGGGAGTCCGCGCACCGATGCGAGCAGTCCGCGCGGAGCCCCGAACGTCTGTGCTCCTGCAGCGCTTCCCTTCTTCGCGACCAGCAGCTGGCCGGGAGCTCGTCGGCCGCAGAGTGCCCGCCCCCGGCGTGCGGGCGTGCGGGGTCCGTGCCGCGCAGGGGCTCGGGCGTCGCCGGCCGGGTGCGGGACGCTGTGCAGGGAAGGGAGCCACCGCAGGCACGAGCCAGCGGTGTTGGCACGGAGCGGCCACCATCGCCGAAGCCCAAGGAGCCCAATGATGAGATCCGCCGAGGGTCGCCCGCTGGTAACTCTAGAGGCCCGCTGGTGATGGGCAGGTACACCATGTTCATGGAAGACGACGCTTTCATGGGCGAGGGCACCTCGAGCATATGCCGACGGGGACTGGACACCTGGACGCAGAGGACGGTGGCGATCAAGGCTTACAAGATGAAGACGCCCTGTGAAAAGGTGGCGCTAGTCAAGTTCAGGAGGCAGATCCACGTGCTGGAAGAGCTGAAACGGCCCTTCGAGACGCCGGACGATCCCAGATTACGCTTCAAGGATCTGGCCTCGATAGGACCTGAGCAAGTCTTCATGCAGTTGCTCGACTACTCGAGGGACGCGCAGGGGCGGCCTGGGCCTGACCCCTCCGACGGCCAGCTGTATGTCATCACCGAGATCGCGCAGTTCAGCCTGAAGGACCTCATCAAGACACGGAAGGAGGAGAACCGGCCCATGTCCAAGGAGACTGTGCGCTGCCTCGTGAGATCCATCATGCTGGTGGCAGCCGGCCTGCACGCCAAAGGCCTGGTGCACTTGGACATTAAACCTGAGAATCTGATGATATTCGACGGCGTTCTCAAGCTGATCGACGTGGACGGCTGCATCAAAATCGGCACCTCCATCTCGCTCGATGACGAGTCCCTGTCCTTCTCCCCGGTGTACTGCTCCCCCGAATGGGCGAGTTTCTTGACAGGGGAGGAAGGTGAGGAGACGGTCCTGACCGCGTCCCCCGCTCTAGACGCATGGAGCATCGGCATGACGTTGATGGAGCTCGTCGCACTTGAACCAGTGCTGAGGCCGAAATACGTAAGCTTCTTCAGGCATGGGCGCGAGCGGGAGGAGGCGAACTTCTTGTTCTTCGAGTGGCTTGGCAGCCTGCAGCAGGCGCCGCTGCCCCAGCAGATCAGGAAGCACGACTCAGATCTCCAGTCGCTGCTGTACGAGAACTTGCTTGTCTGCGACCCCCGGAGGAGGAAAAGCCTGGCGGAGAGTCTCAGCCACCCCTTTGTGGCGGCCCAGCCCGGGCTGAGCAGATGCGCAGCGGTGCCCCTCGCTGAGCTTACTTCTTCCCAGGGGGTTGCGCGGCACCGCCGCAGCCGTGTGGAGGACAAGTCCACGAGGTACATCTTGAAGGGGGTCCTTTGGAAGCTGAACAACGATGGAGATCCGAAGGACGCCTCTCACTGGCGGCAGCGCGATATATGGGTCTCCAGCGGTGGCGCGCTGTGCTACTTTAGTCTGAAAGACAAGAAGCGCTTAAGGCTAATGGATGCGCCAGTGCTCCACGAGGCGACCGTGACCAGGTTCGAGGGATGCGCCATAGAGCACGCCTTTCAGGTGTGCTCGCCCCACCAGAGCTTGTACTTTGCGCCCGAGTCAGAAGAAATGCGAGCCAAGTGGATGGAGGTCTTGGGTCAAATGAATAGCGACGTGATACAGACGGTGCGCTTCGGCGACACATTGGCCACAGATCTGAGGCGGTACCGGCTGAAGGTGCGCAACCGCAGGAAGGCCCTGGACGAGAAGATGATTTCCGCTGGGTGCTACAAGCCCAGGTTCACAGGCTTCCTCTGGAAGCTCAAGACGGACGGGGACGTCGACGTCGAGGGTGACTGGATCAAGCGGGAGATGTGGCTGTCGGAGAATGGCAGCCTGGTGTACCTGAGCGCCAAGGAGGACCGGGAGCTGGTCTACTACACGGCCGCCGACGTTGCGCTCGCGACGGCGATCGCCGTGTCGGCGACGCCCTCTGCCTGCCCGCCCGAGTCCTGGCGCTTCCAGGTGCGGCTGGCGCCCTGCGGGGACCTGGACCTGCAGCCCGGAGAGTTCGCGGCGGAGACCGAGGAGCGCCGAGAGGCGTGGCTGGAGGAGTTCGGTCGTTGCCGCTGCTGACTCGAGCGGAGGCGTGAGCGTGGCATTTTTGTTGTTGCACGCGCGTCGCCCCTCATTGGAAGCTTCGTCCTTGCGAGTGGATGTCGGGCGGGAGCGGTGTGCAGCGAATGCGGGTGCTCATCCGTTCGCCTCGTTCACGCTTCTCCTCCACTTCTGCGGTTCCGAGATGCCGTGCTGGAGGCCAGAACACTTTACGCAGCGAAGGTCTGAATAGAAACGCGCTCCGGGACGATCTACAGCACCCAATGAGGCCCAAGCAGGGTAGGCACGCTCTACGTGTCACATTTCTGACACCAAGTAGGATAGCCGTGTGCGCTCAGTTTCAGGCTTTGGCTCGATCATGGAAGGAGTACACACCACCACGATTTCAGCTCGTTGCCAGGGCGTTGAAGCATGCCACATTCGACCAACCATATTAGAGTTGGCGCCGTTTTGAAGGGTATTGTTTCGAGGCCGTTCGATGAATTCAGCAGCATGAGTATAAAGTCACTGCGGTGCAACATTCTAAACGCATCGCGCGTCCCCAGCAGGCCATCCAACGACCTGTGCCTCCCTGACCTCTTGTGTGATCTCACGCTTAGTGGCGCTGCCTAGTCGGGCGCAGTGGTCGCGTGTTGCGGTCTGGGTGTGTTGATATTGGTTAATGCGCGACCTAGTGCCATCTGATTGCGGATTCATGGGCGCGCAAAGTTTGCAATGTCAAGAGGTATATTTTTCCTTCTCCTTCTCCTCCCTCCGCGGGTTTTCTTACCTTTTCATCGCTCTCTGGTATCATCTGCTACTCCCGCCATGGGAGGGGTTATTTTCCTTTTGTGCTGGTGCCTCCATTTCCTCGTCTTTCACCTCTCCTGCGATTTCTTTTTCCAAACGTGAGCTCCCCAATGCCACTGATGTGTTCGCCTTCCGTGGATGAGCAGACCTGCGTGCACGATGGGTGGCCTGCTCTCCTCTGGGCTGTTCTGATCGGGCCTTTCCCCGCTTTGGTTCGGTGTAGTCGAGAGTGGTATTGTGTTGTCTGGCCGATTCTTCTGGCACCGCAAGGGTACGGTGCGATTGCAGTGTAGCAAGGTACCCGTCGATCTCTGAAAGTATAGGTATTTTCGGATTCCCAAGTCCCAATCTACTTCACGCGCCTGTCCATTTCAAGAATCGGATGGTTCCTTTTTCTTTCCTTTTAGGAGGCGGGCGGGAACTCATCTGTTCTCAACGCCTTCATACTTCGTCTTTCACCCACTTGTTCCGAAGGATTGGTAAGATTGTGAAGGCCTGACGGCTGGTGCCGCCGACCCTGAAAGACATCGACGACGACCAGGAGAGGGAGGAGGAGGAAAAGGAGGAGGAGGACGAGAAGGAGGAGGAAGCGGAGATGAGGAGGAGGAGGAGATGGAGGAGGAGAAGGAGGAGGAGGAGAAGGACTCCCCCCTGGGACCCCCCTCCCTGGGGAGGAGGACCGGAGAAGGACCGGCGTGGGAGAGGGGAGGGGAGGGGGAGGAGGACCCCCAGGGACGGATGCGTATCTGACTCCCCTTCCCCCTCCTGGGACTCCTCCCAACCTGGGGAAGAGGACCCGAGGAGGACCGGCGCGCCAGAGAAGGACCGGCGTGGGAGAGGAGGACCCCCAGAGGCGATGCGAATCTGACCCCCCCCCAGGACCACCACCCAACCAGGGAAGGGACAAAGGTAAGGGGCTTCCTTTTGACGTAATGAGGACGTGGATGGAATTCCCTCAAGCGGCGAACCCGTTCCCCGAACGAGGAAGGGTGCTCTCTCTCTCTCTCTCTCTCTCTCTCTCCCCCGACGGGAGGGGACGAAAGAAGGCTCCCCGTCGTCGGGACCGGACAGACCCCACACACGCCGACAGGGTCGGCGGGTTTTGTGATGTGGTCGGGTCTGGCGTAATCGAGCCTTGATCAGAAGAGCGGGGGGGCGACACTTGGGAGGAGCGGGCGAAATAATCACACCATCATGAGATATGTGCGTCGCCATTCTTGAGAGGCTCTCTCGCCAGCCTCCTGGGTCATCCTCGGCCGCCTTTCGAAAGGCATTTTTGCAGTCGCGGGGACCTCTCGAGGACGTGCGTTCGTCTTCAGGGCTTCTGGAGGCTCTCTTAGTCTTTTGCTGGCTCCTTGGTTGACTCCTGACGTCTCAGAGAGCCTCTTAGGTCGTCTTGGAAGCTTCTTGGGGTCCTTTCCAGCCGTCTTGGGGGCCTCTCGGTGGCTTACTGGGCCGTTCATGGCTTCGGAGACCACGTTGGGCACTTCTTGGACGCTTCTCGGGCGCCTCATACCAGCGACGCTTCCAAGTGGCATGGCCAGCGGGTCACCGGCTGGCATTGTGATGCGCTATTTCATTCCACGCTTTCTTCTTGCAACACAAAAAAGAGCGCCAATACCCTGCGCGACACGACCGACTGACGTCAGGCCTTCATGTCGGAACGCTTGGTTTTGATATATGCTGGGCGAGATTGTTAGAATACCAGTGGCTGTTCAGACATTTTTCACACCTGTGCGCGCAGAGAGCTTACAAGCCTCGTCAAAAATAAACAGAAACAAAGTTGGAAAACACGACGATTGATCTTCTCGGGCACTTGTTAGAAACTGCGTTCTTCAATGCTGCGGAGGTGTCGTCGGATTTTTGAAGCCCTTGCGTCCACGTCAGATATCTAGCGTCAGCATTGGAGTAGCGCTGACCATACAATGACCGAAAACAGAATCCCTCAGTTTATTTTTGACGAGGGTTGTAGAACCCTGTCCCCACGCAGTGCCTGAACTCAGGGGCTCCCGCTGATGCTCCCAATGAGTTGGAGTGCTGTGCCGGGTCTGCGTCCGTCGGCCGCCCGTCGCCGCCCCGTGCGCTGGCTGGCTGGCGCTCTGGGCTTTTGCCCGCCCGGCGCCGCTTCCGCCGTTCGCCGCTCTGCTTTGTGTACGGTGTTCTCACACACGTAGTTCGTAGTTCTACTGACACCACCACCACCACCACCACCACCACCACCACCACCACCACCACCACCACCACCACCACCACCACCACCACCACCACCACCACCACCACCACCACCACCACTGCTACTACTACACCAGCGCGCGGAGAGACACACCGAGCGATCGATTGTCATCTTGATCGCCATCGTTCTCGTGTTCATCGTGGCTGTCGTCGTCCTGGTCAGCATCGCCATCACCATCATCATCACCATTGTCGTCAGCGCCGAGATCGTCGTCACCATCCTCGCTCGCCCGCCCGAGTCAGTGATCTGGATGGGCATCGTCCGCGCGTCGTTGCGCTTGCTGAGATTAGTGAGCAAGTTCCGATGAGTAACTTCAGTCACGGCCTTTTGAGCTTTGCCAGCAAATTGTGTGTATGGTTGGGTGGCATGTTTACTCGAGCATTGAGTGTGGTCATGCGCGGATGCACGCAAACTTACTTGCACCACATGGAGTCATCAGCAGCTATTGCACTGAAGAGCATGCGCCAAGTAGCTTGCGCTATATGTTGATTCTTCTGCATGGCGCTCATTGAAATCTCTTTTCAGAAAAATAGGCTCTACGACCCTCTCCCCCCAGGACTTGACGGTGCCTCCTTGGACATTGCAAATTGCCCATGATTCTGCCCCATTTGTCATTTGTCAAATGAAAGTACACTATCCCAGCCAGGCTCGTATCGCCCCCTCTCTCATCCCTGTCAAATCATACCATGCGTGCGCAGTCGTTGATCTCACATTGTCATCTTGCACTGCTACTTCGCAACAGGTACCACACAGTCAACGCGCGCGCACTTGCAGAAACCATGCGACACCTCGTAGTTTTGCAAGCATTACACCATGCAAGCGTAAACAACCCTCAGGTTTGTCACCAACAGTCTGGCAGATTAGCTGTCCGCGCGCACTTGTTGAAGCCACAGCACAAGATGCGTTCTTGCAGTCTCGCCCATGCCCCGACTTCTCATGCCACCACGCGGTGCATCTGCGCTGATCTAGCACGCGCTCAGTGCACGAAACCGCATCGAACGCTGCTATGCGGGCCACGCGCGCGCGCCGCCGCGCCTGCGCGTGTGTGGACATATTTTCAACACCATTGGCCTACGAAACATTTCAAGATTGAGCGCTTCAAACACATGTGAAAAGCCATTTGTTTTTCAAGAACCCGTCAAACGGTATTTTTCATTTTCTGCGCGTTCGCATTTCCACACGATAACCCTCATTAGCTCCATCGCATCACCATTGTCACCGTCATCGTCAATCTCCGCCATTGTCGCCATCATCAGCACCATCACCATGATAACCGACACATGGACATCATCATTGTCATCTTCGTCACCAGCATCGGTGCCGTCACTGGCCGTGGCGTCGTCATTGCCATCATGGCTACCACCATCATTGCTACTATCACCATCGTTGCCGCCGATGTCGATGTCATCATAATACCGCGCCCGCCCGAGTCGCCAATCTGCACTGAAGTGCCCGCGCGCCAGCGCGGTCTTTGAGACGCGCTGGGCAATTCCCCGTGGTAACCGCCATCGCTCTCGTATCAGTGGTGCCAAATCAGCTGGCCACCCTGCGCGCCGTGGCCGTATGTTTTTTCAACCGAGCTGCGAATGGGAGGGCGGGGTGATTGCGAGAGCAGTTGAGTTGCAACTCATGAGTTTACAAATTACTCTGGCGAAGGGTTCAGCCACATGCAGTTGTGAGCACCGCAGCTGTGGGTATGGTCTTCGGTGAATTTCTCCATGGGCCCACGAAGCGAGCGAAGGACATGCCGAAATGGGGGGGGCGGGGGCCGCATGCGGACCGTGCCATTGGGGCCTTCGGCGGGGCTTCATATGGGAGCCGCGACACGCCTGATGAGCGTGCTGCAAGCGGGGGAGCCGCGTGCGAACTGTGCCACTGGGGGCTTCCTATGGGGCCACGAAGCGCGCAAAGGATGTGCCGAACCGGGCGTGCCGCCCACATGCGAACGTCACCGTCAGGGCTTTATGCGGAGCTCCCTGTGGGACCACAAAGTGCG